CTTTATCACCTATTCAGGTTGTAAATCGTGTTTTTAAAAAGTAACTAAGTAATTAATTACTTTTGAAAATAAGTAATCAGTAAAGTAACGGGATTACCTTTTTGGGGAAGTAATCAGTAATTACTTACTGATTACTTTTTTCAAGTAACTTGACCAACACTGATGCCTATATGTTTTCAATGCAAACAATGACAGTAAGAAACATAGTTTTTAAATAGCTGTGTATAGGATTATTAGCACTCTGAGCTTCGGGTCAATCTATTAACCTTGAAGAAAATGTCAGAGGTCAGATTTTAAGTCTTTGTACTTATAGGTTGACAATACACCACGCTTGTAAGAAAAAAGGTTCTAAATTATAAAGCTGTTTGTCTGTTTGTGACTGATAAATCATTAAGTTGACCTTGAAGACCTCAGTGGATGTCAGCCAAATTTTAATAGATTGTTAACTACTCAACACCCCTCCAAAGAGTTATCAGAATTCATTCAAAACTTTTTGAGTTTACAGACAGAATGACACGCATGCAAACAGTACCAAAAACATAAACTCCTTGGAGGAAAAAGAAAAAGGCAGCTGCCCAGAATGTGGCACACACAGTGGTTGAGAGAAAAAGTCTTGTGGATCACATGAAAACTATGAAGTCAGAGCATGTCCAACACAAACACTTTAACAGTCTGGTGTGTGTATTTTCACACCCAAGGATTATAGCTAACAGTGACTGTATGTTTTTCTGCTACCTGACTTTATAATGGGAAATTGGACCAGTACATCACTGTACAAACTGTGAATGTAAGTTGAAGGAGGTAAGCCTTACTTAAAGGCATAGTTTTGGAACTTGTCTATCATTATAATGTCACATTTTCGTGTAAGGACTGATGCTTATCTAGCACTTTTCTATTCTACCTGGGCACTTTGTCTAAGATTCGTAGTCATAATGATGCATCGGGGCAACTTGGGGTTCAGTATCTTGGCCAAAGAAGCAGGGATCGTACACCCGACCCTCCGATTAGAAGACCAGTTGTAACCTTATCTTACAAAGCAACAAAAGCGATTGTTTTTAAATCGTTTTAATTTCAATATATATATCTATAATAATATTCCTTGAAAAATTCTGTTTTCAAGGAAACTAAAACACAAACAAAATATCAAGAATTCCTTGGCGATTTGGTGCATTAAGAAATGTGCTGAAGCTAAGCAATAACAATGTGGTTCAAATGAATCGCAAAATTTCTGGCTATAATTGTAGTTTGCATTAATTTTCTCCAAAAGTCCCGTTCATGACGGTAATGCAGTTCAACAGACCTGAGTAATCGATCCCAGCTCACAGGCAGCGAAGAGCAATGTTTTCATGCCTACTGCCGACTTGCGCTAGTCACTCTGCCATGGCGTCTGTAATGTCGCTGATTAAGGAGGGGACATCGTAGCATCTCCTTTTTATATCGCTTTGGTGAACGGTATATTGTGCATTTTGCTACTCCTGGTTTGAATTTAACAAAATTTCCCACTGAACCGGCCATGACCGTGGAGCAGAATGTCCTCCAGCAGCATTCTCAGAAGGTAAGCTGCCATATGATAACTTGGTGGCTAGCTAACTTTAGCTTAACTGTATTCCTACATAGTTTAGGAGCTCAAAGAACGCAGAGGGTGGGTGAATTAGTTCCTTGGTTGGTAGGGTGTACCTTGAATTGTTGTTTAAAGACGTCGTGCGTGACCCCTTTGTGAAGAACCGTTTGTAAATCCCACATAACTGCATGTTAGCTGGGCCTTACGTTACCCTGGGTCAGTGCTTTATTCAATATTTTGCTAGCCAGTGTACGTGCTAATGTAGCCGTTAGCGATAGCTAACGGTACCACGTAAAGTTAACTAAAACCCCAACGTCGTCCTTTACGCTGGGTTGCGTTTAACAGAAGCTAGCTATTCCTATATTATAACATGATGCTCTGCATGGTGACGACAGCAATATGGGCTATTCGTCAATTAAAATAAACATGGCTAAGTGACAGTGACAGATTTAACGTTAGCTTGTCGACGTCTTCATAGTAACTAAATCTTTGATTTCTCTGACGGTTTTAGCTGAAGTCTTATGATAAACTAACCCCCCCCCACCACCACCACCACCATCACCACCAAAGAAATTAATGTTTAGTTTGATCAAGTGCTTACTCTTTGTTTGTGTGAGCAAATGTTTCCTATGTTACTCATCACATATCTGATACCTTTGTTTACAAAGCATGTCCAACGGCGAAGGTGGAAACCCGCCCGAGCAACGATGCTTGGCCGGGATTGAGTGTTCGGATTGCAAGCCAGGCGTGTGACAGTTCATAACTGGGAAGGCAGATTATTATGTTACATTTGATCACACCGCTCTCATTTTACCTAAGTGCATTAAGATCCGCTGCTTAGACGCCTAGTTATGCGATTTAGTCCGTGGCCACCATGCCCAGTACCGCATAGCTCTGGTTACTTATGTAACCACTTGAGTGATGTTGCTTAATCATAGGTTAGATGTTTGCTCCGCGGGTCCAGAGGAAAAGAAATCATATTTTTGCAAAAGTCTTATGTAATTGCAGCGATGCTTTACTACACTTCATACAGTCCAGGAGCTCTGCAGCGCAGGCCTGCTGTGTTCAAATAAATCAGCTCCCCAGCCTTTAAAACATGAGTAAGCACCATCAGGCATATGGTGGGCTCATTACACAAGTTACGGTCTTAGGCAAACTAAATACTTGAGCCTCTGTAATGGCTCACACTTTAATTTTTTTCTGTTATTGAGCAGGCTGACCTTATTAGTGGCTGACATCATACTACAACAACAGCTGTTGAAATGTGTACTGTAATTAGGGTTGCCACTAGGGCTGGGCGATATGGCCTAAAATTCATATCGTGATATAATTTGAAGCATGTGTGGTAACGATATATATCGTGATATATTCTTTTCTTCTGTATAACGTATTTTCTACACTATAAGGCACACTTAAAATTCTTTAATTTTCTCAAAAATCGAGAGTGTGCCTTATGTATGAATTCTGCTTGTGCTTACTGACCTCGAACCGATTTTGGCGTGCAAAAATTGTCAGTAAACACTTCATCTGGCTGATGAATCTTCACGTGCCATATTACAAAGTCTGTATTATTAACTCTGTAATCAGGCGCCATTCTTCTTATTTTACGTAAGATTTGCACATGCGGGATAACGGTACCCCGCATGCGCAAATCTTACGTCACTTCCTCTCTTGGCCAACATTGCGACATTCAATATATTTGAATGGTGAGCGCCCAGTTAGCTCCTAGCATTTCTCAAGAGCTCTGCCTCCTTTTTGACTACCGGGACAATTAAACAATGGATAATCCGTATACAAACAAACTCATGCTTTTCTCCTCAACAGAGAGCGTCCCCCGATTGAACAACAGCGCCGTAAAATAAGAAGAATGGCGCCT